TTTTCTTGTTCAAACAATTTCTGTTCGCTTTGTTTATCATGAATGCTGACATTTCTGTTTGAGAAAACTTTTACTGAAGACATTGGAATCTCTTCTGAATCAATAGAGTAAATAGAACTGACACCTATTGTCTCTGTTTTCTTGTCTGATTAGTATCCACTCTGTATTTCCTTCCAACTATTATTTTTAGAAATGGTGTGACAAATGGATTTTTCAAGACCATGAAGAATGAAAAAAAAGAGTTTAGGATGAGAATTTAAGCTATAAAGCGAGGTTCTTGATCTTTAAGATTCAATTCAAGATGAGATGGGACAAGGGCCTCAAGATAATAGTTATGCACATCTTTCATCCTCCTCCCCCGGAATGAAGAACCGAGTAAATAATACTATGACTTCATCTCACAAAAGAGTGCTTTCAGGATTTAAAAGAAACCCCCTCTGCTAGCTGAGAGAGGTAAACAGCCGACTTGCAGTGTCTTTAGTTGACCTGCCTAACCTTACCAAGTTGACTACCCTAAGCAGGCATAATAAAGATAGAAGATAGAAGCCCAATATATCTCTGTTTAAGAAGCATGTTGATGTGTTTTCCTCCCCTTCTTAGAGAGTGGGAATATCCATCCACTCAATTATAAAATATTTTTTGCTGGCATCACTTTTTAGCACTACCAACATGATCTGCCACCCCAATAGCATTGTTTACAACCAACTTGTCGTAGTGAGCACTAACTAAAGCTAGTCCTACTAGCTTGTAGCACACTTTTTCAGTGCGTATCGCGATTCGAGTGCTTAGTGAACTTCATCATCTTATTTTGTCCACTGCAATATGTGTAGAGTATGTGTATACAAGATATAGAGATAGGGACCATTCACTGCTTATTACTACATACCTTTTCAGTGTATAAAATGCCCTGGGTTTTAATTCTGCAAAAATTCATCCTCTGTAATATATAATAAGATAAGATGCCCACGTGGAGATGCCCGAGGTTACTGGGAAGTCCTGGGGGACCTTAAACCTGTCCAACGAGCAGCAATGAGGAGAGAGACCTGTAATGGATTGCTGGAGCAATGTCCTGAGCTTGCGATTATCCAATCCTGCCAGGACTTGTGGCCTCTTTCTGCTGCCATCCAGCCAAGGTGGATTAATAGCGTCCATTACAAGAGGCGAAAGACGTAAGTTATCTATACTGATCTTCTTATATTCAATGCTAATTACTTGTTTATTTATAGTGCTGCTGAATCCTAGAAGCTTATCTTGCTAAACTTAGAAGACAGGCAGCAGCTTTAGATCTCTCTTCCAGTGCTTCTCATTAGTTTATAATGCTAATAAATAAAATATGTCATTCTTTTTAATCAATAACCAATGTATTCTTATGTAAACATAATGTGTGTTTCTTCTATGTATTGTACAATCATATAACATATTGAAATAGATAAAGAATAATGGATATTGATAAAAGTGTATTACGTAATCCTATCTGAAAATGCTTTTCAGGTGTATGAATATCTGAAAATACTCTTAAATTGACTCAAATAACTAAGATATTACTTAAGATAGGAATTAAATCTTGAAGATAAATGATTCAAGATTTTATTTTTCCGTGGTGTTCTTCTTCAACAGATTCAAGTTCTTACTGCTCGGAAAGACTCAAAATAGGCAAATCATTATACTTATCGAAAAGAGACAGCCAATAAAATATTGGCCAAGCAGGATCAGACATATCGACGCTTTATTTCGTTTTAATTGCTGTTAAAGAGTATCAATGAGATTCAAGTTCTTCATACAAATCATTATCAATAAATCAGCCATTATCAATAAATCAATTATTGTAGAAGAATCAATTGTTGTCCATAATTCAATTGTTCTGTATAAAGTATAACTCATCGCTTTTCTACCCCTCTTTTCACACTGATTCTCCTAACACATGTCTAAAGCTACGTTCAAATCAATCATCTTGGAGAAGAAACGCCAAGTGTTTGGAAGTCGTAAAGCAAATGCATTTAAAAGTATGAAATAAGTTAATTATCTTTTACATTGGGATTCATATCGTATACTTTAAAGATGCAATATGTGTTGATTGTTCAAAAAGTGGTCATTATTCAAAAGCTTACTTCAAGTGAAAGTTGTATGTTGCAGGCACAGCAAATACTGGTAAATAACTACAAAGCAAAATGTTGAGAAGTGTCTTCATAATGTAAACATGTTTCTTTATGTATTTGTAGTTGGTTCAAGTAGTGGTAAAAGGCGAAAGCAAACCTATGAAGATAGAGCACAAAAGCAGCAAGCTAAAAGACAAAAAGATCAAGTTGAGGGCGATGTTGCTATTTGTTCTAAATGCAAGCAAAGAGGACACAGATCTGCACGTTCTCCCTTGTGCCCGCAAGGTATCTTGTCAAAAGCACAAGTTATCCGTGCTAATTTAAGAGATAATTACAAAGCGTATACCAGGAAGTTGAGGTTTGATAACTGCGTTTCAAATACATACCATACGAAATTGAAATCAAATGTGATTAAAGCATGCTCATCAGTCAGACATTTGGTTTTTAGAGCTAAACTGTTTGTGAATTATTATGTCTTGGAGAACCATAATCTCATTGGTGCACCTAAAGTCATCTTTAGTCAAAACTTCTGGTATAGCATCATACAAATGGTCAATGGCAAACGGCCTACAAATAGCGCATCACTTCCGCAACAGTTATTGAGCTTCTTCGACTAATTTAAGAAGCAACACAAATCCATTTTGTACACAGAAAAGCTATTACTAGGAATAAGCGAATGTGTAGCGGAAGCATGCAAAGAATTGGCTACTTCGTACACTAACAACATTGTTGAAAACTTTGAAAATCATTTGCTTTACTTTCTGCGGTACAAGTTGCAAGACTTGTTTAGGGTGAGTTAAACAAACTGTTCTATCATTCAGATGCTTATGATATGATAGTTTATGTCCAAAAAGATTACCGGGGAAGTAGCCAAAAAGTACTGTTATCAGGAAATTTGTAAAGGGTCACCCACTTGGCCGAATACTGAACTTCTAAACAAGAAAGCATCAGGTTGGACCCGGTCCCTCATACCAAAGTTTTGATCTGGCTCTTGAGGATTTTGACTTGTATGAGGTGGAAGACAAGTATTTACCCATATCACTGGATCCTGGTAGAACATTTGTATTCACTGCAACAGCTGGTCTACAGCCAAATAGACACTTGAGGTGTACTACTAAGGAATACTATCACATGACGGGATTGACGAGATTCTCAAGGAAGCAAAACAAGTTGAAAAGGGAACCAGGGGATTGAGTCGTTGGAGAGTGAAATTCCCTCCCCCAAAACTTCTAAAAGCTCAGCATACAGCGACTATGTAAAGTATATGCTTTTGAACAAGGACAGCTTCTTTGGATTTTACGGGAAAGATACAGCAAAGACCCGCTCCCAATTATACCGAGGAGTTCAGAGAGCCACTGATCAAATGGCTATCCTTATTCATGGCACATCAAAGTATACCAGAAACAAAAGAAGCAAAGAAGAACAGGCTGAGAAAGAAAAAAAAAAGAAGAAAAAGTAGTAATCGACAATCCTAGCAAGCCAAAGTAAGTATACAGACTGTTTGTCATCACTGTCAACCTTCTTATGTTATCTTATTGTAGAAAGCAAAAGTGGAAGCCAGCACCATATCTGGAGTCAAAAACAAAGACACCTCTCATTGTCTTTGGTGCAGGAATGTTCGGCAATGATGCAGTCAAGCTGAAGGGGCGCAGATGCGGTGTAGTTGGAAAATTATTCAGAACATTAAAAAGGCGTGAGGCTGAAGGTCGACTGATTGTGACGACAATCGATGAATTTAAAAACCTCAAAAAATTGCAACCTCTGCCTTTCTGATGGCCTGACTATCATAGATACTGACAACTTTAAAGGAGTTGGAGTTGTCTGCTGTCATCATTGCAAACAATTATGGCAAAGAGATACTGATACTTCAAATAACATGATGACCATCTCCAAGGCAGTATGGTCAGGACAAGGAAGACCACAAGTCTTTACGCCAGAACGAAATACATCGCCGTAACAAACACGGTTTTTCTTAGAAATGAGAATTAAGATCTTTACAATGTAACATAAGCCACATTATAAAATTTTTTTATGTCTAAAATCAGAAAATGAAACCCATCTTCTCATACACATCTTAAAACTCTTCCTTAACAAACATGCAGGCTATATCAACTCCAAACAGCTTCTGCGTAGAAATGATGTGTGTTCATTCGGAAATTTAGAGCTACACACTTCAGGATGATATTCCCATACGTCAGATGTGAAGGTTCTAGTAGTAAATGTGTCTATCAAACAATGAAAGGGACTGCCAAACAAATAATTGCCATTTGGGACTGCCGAAGGGTATTAATAGATGGTACGTTAAGCATCTCTTACCAGAATCTTCATCAAGAATGTATACTTTACATTCCTCTTTTTCTATGCATGAACGGTTGATGTATAAGTGTCCAAACGCAGGGGTGCTGTAAACAGGCAGAGGGGGGCTATACACATCTATTTTGAACTTGATTGAAGATGAAGAGCTGTCGATATCTAACCCATCTTACTCACAGGTGACGGAATGAAAAGTGTAATTATATACTTACTGAATGGACTGTGTTATATGAATGTAAATTGATATACCATTTTATATCTTTTCAGGTACAATCTATTCCTGGTTGAAGTAAGGTTATTATGGGTATTTTGGTAACCGGATGCCAGTAAAACTATGGATAAGATGACAGGTAAACAATTATTATTAGTAAGAAGAAGAAGAAAAATTCCTCCAGTGCATAATTATTGTGGATGTTGCAACTGAAATATTTTCATTGACTCAATATTGCAATTACTTTACATAATAGAGTAATACCATTACTACTGATGACCATCATTTTGCTGATCTGATGGTTTTTAAGCACAATATGTTTAAACAATTCATTTTTGAATAACATTGTCTTTCACATATGATGATAACATCAACAAGTCGTCAGTGTGTCCGAGTGGTTAAGGAGTTAGACTTGAAATCTAATGGGCTCCGCCCGCACAGGTTCGAACCCTGTCGCTGACGAATTACTTTTGCCATCGCTTCGAAAGTGTGTTTGCTATCTCCTATTTTTGAGCTCTGATGAAAAATGATCACGTCACACAAATCAATGCTTATTAAGATATGATATATTGGATAATGACTGTCTCAAAACGATTGCTAACTTTTTGATATATAACATTATCCATCAAGACACATGAACGATTAGCAATCATACAGCACCTGAATTATTATGAAGCATCAAGTCTATGGATGATCATGAATCATCCTTATATACGTTAATTTATATCTATTACTAAGAAGCTGTCATATATTATTATTCACCATTAGTTATAGTCAATTGTAAAAACATATAAATAGCCATCATCATGTATCAAATAAACATCATTCTTTTACCCATCTTAAAAATCATAGTAACTACTTAGACTTATAACACCTACAAGACAAAAAGGTGACAGTGCCATTGCTTTTGTTTTTCTTACAAGGTGATTGCCAATTTACTTGGATTAGAAGATATGTAGGCATTTATGTCATGTTTAAAGGGGCTGGTACCTCATTCATTGTCTATGCCTGCTTATCAATCACTGAATGCAATGATATACTTAGATATTTCATCACTATAATACTCTCATACATTGGAATAGAATATGAAGACATAGAGTACACATGATTCATTAAATAAAGGGATGGTATAATAAGCATGAGATATATATGTATAATGGATTCTATATGTATTTATTCCATGTCAAGCGGAAGACTCTCCTTTGCCAATTCAACCAATGGTATCAGACTACTCAGGGGATCTGCCTCTTCTAAGAATGGATGGGATAGTAGCTCATTTGATGTGGGTCTAAATAGAGGGTTGACCTGCAAACACAAGGAGAGGAAGTTCTTGAAGAGATCACTTAATGCGTCTGGGTTCTGTAGTGTGGGTGTTCCATTATTAGCTATCAGAAAGAGTGCCCTGAGAGGATTCTCGTTCAGATAAGGTGGTTCTCCTTCTATCATCTCAATAGCCATGATACCCAATGACCAGATATCTACTCTCTGATCATATGCTTTCCTTGTAACTACTTCTGGTGCCATCTAATAACGATAATCATCAGTTATCCTGTATCAACATATCATTTCATCTATTACCCAGTATGGTGTACCAACGAGTGTCGTTCTTTTTAACTGTTCAGCATGTAACTGTGCACAGAAGCCAAAATCAGCTTTTTTTTAAGGTAAAAAGATGAGTAAGATGCTTCTATTGTTCAACAATGCTCTTTATACTCACTCAATTTGATATGTCCATCCATACTCAATAATACATTATCACTCTTGATGTCTCTGTGAATCACATCATTCTCATGAAGATGCTTCAGCCCTTTTAATACCTCTTTGCAGATAGTAGCAATCTGTCCTTCTGTCATCATATTGCATGTCACAATGTCTGTTAAGCTTCCTCCCTCCATGTATTCCATTACTACCCAAAGATCTTCATTCCAAAGATAAGATTCAATGAAGTTAACAATATTTTCATGTTTCGATTTCTTCATTACCACTATTTCATTAATGATCAACTCCTTCTTTGGTTGTTTATCAAGATTCATCTGTTTAATGGCTACAGGCACCGAATCACCCAGACGACGTGTAGTATAAACACCACCAGATGCACTGTTACGATTGGTTAAAACTGTTTTTTTTTCGTCTACATAACATAAATGACTTCATTCTATCCTTACCCTTGTCCAATCTTCACCATATCAGAGTATATCAGGCGTGGATCATTGTTGATACAGACTTCTCTCAGCTTGTTAATAATCTCTTTATCCTTTTCACTGTTTCTGTTGTTTTTAGGTGGTCTTTTCTTCACTGTTCCAGGTGGCCCCGTGAGTGTACCGAGCTCAATGGGTTCTATGATTGGCTTCACCTCTACAAAATCATGCGACAGAAGCAGTTCATCCTTGAGTGAAGTGGTAGAAATAGAGTTGATAGAATGGAAATCATCCAAGAAGTTGAATTCTAGTGATAGAGAATGAGCATAAAATGAATGTATTGACTTATACAATTCTCAACTACCTTTGTCACTGGAATGTCTGCTATATCTATTCTATTTTGAATGCATGGAAAGTAAGATACACATGAGCATAGAGTTTAAATAGTATTTACATTATCGTTCAAGTCATTGTCTTCTATGGAGGGAGATATCCCCAGATGACTGAATTCAACTGAGAGAGGCTTGCTTTCTTCTATTGTGAGTACTGGTATCTTATCCCATACATGTTCACTTGTTATCTTCTGGGCATCTTGGAAATATTCAAGGGCATCAATAACAGCCTTTGAATGGGATATTAAAATGAGTAACTCATTGATTATACACATTTATAGTAGTCATGTACCTGTGGATTTTCCTTTTGTTCTTGCTTTGTAATACCACTTTGTGAGAGTAATGTATTCCATTCAGCGGGTACACCTGTAAATCCACCTGTCGCTGAATCAAAGCCTACATGTGTTATATGCACAGTATTATAGGGTGTTGATATATCCATCTCCTTCTGCAGACCCTTATAGTTGACTGTATGGTTATTACTCGAGAGGAAGTCTAAATTTGTCCCCTTTCATTTTTTAATATCATCTCTCGGTATGGGGGATTCAAAAATAACGTACCATTGAAATTACCCATGAATTTATCAAATACGCCTTTGAGCTTAGTCTTCTGCTGATGTTTGCCCTCTACAGGTGAGAGCACCCCTTTCTTTGTGGTGGGTGAATAGGTGGTACTGTCAACCTTGGATTTCTTCCGGTCATGCAGGTTGGTGGTGATGAGTTTGGGCAGATTAGACATAGTTGGTGAGAGTGAAAGAAAAAGAAGAGGAGATAAGGAAAGTGAAGGGGACAAAGAATAGGCCCTGTGCTATTTTATGTTAAATAGAATGGCTTGACCATAATGAAAATAAAATAGTATCACACATTTGATATAATGATATTTATACACTATTTTAAGAAAGCACAGAGCATATGATCTATGGGTCAACTTCAGAGAGCCCTTATTTCCCGAGGAGGCAGGCACTGGAGAGAATATCATTGGGTATGTACAGTGACTGGGAAGATAACATTACTTGGGACATGGCGTGATACTCTCTTGCCGTAATAAGATATCCCCGGGTAATAAGAGTTCAGTATACAGTGTCCCCTCTATCTCTCTACATATTGCAATAGATGCTCGAATCAACCTATTTCTATCGCATGTATCCATGGCTACTATTCAACCAATCAGAGCCAGATACCCTCATTGACTATTATGTCATTGTAGAAGATAAATTTAAAAATAGAATTCATGCGTGATGGGAATAAAATACGAATTATCAAGTGATTACCTGATTTTATATTCCCCTTCTTTACTTATCAAATACATTGTTATGACAAGACGCAAAGTGTTAATAGGCTATGACCACTCAGTTGTATCTATTTCTGCTATAGAATGGGTAGTAAAGAATAAGATAGTAACGGCAGATGATGATATTACCGTGGTAATCATTGTAAATGACGATGCTATAGCTGTAGAAGGGGCATTTGGCCTGGAGGCAACCACCATTGGTCTCACACCTTGGATATCCGATGATTCCAGGCATCGCGTATCTTTGATGGAGAAAGATTCACAGGATGCACTGGATGCTGTAGTCAAATGGTTTGGTAAAAATGGAGTAAGTAGCATAAACAATGTGTATCCTATACACCCTTATTCATGTTGACTCTCGGGTAGATTCATGTAAAAGGTGAACTGTTTAATGGGGAACCTGCTGAGACATTGGTTGCCTATGCAGAAGAGAGTAAGGTGGACTTTGTGATTGTCGGAAACAGAGGATTGGGATTCTTTAAGAGGTATTATCCAGTGTACACACTACTTAACTTTTTTACTCACAGTGTGTCTATAATAGACAATTGATAGGATCTGTGTCTGATTATCTGGTTCATAACCTGAAATGCTCTGTGTTGGTAGTAAAGGGTGACCATAAAGCGAGTGACTTGAAATAGTTATAGGGCTCAATATCTAATAAATGATTCTACTTTCTCATACCTACACAGTTATCTAATATACCTTGTGCCACACTCTAACTATTGTAATCAAAAAGCGTGTGATCAGGTGTGATAATACACACGGCATATATCAGATTGTTAATGGCTATTGTAGTTATTGCATCTTATGTACCTGATGTTAGAGAAGCTCAAGGGCATCTTATTTATCCATAAAATACTCTTTTAATTGACACATGTCAGTATACATATCCTGTAGTTGATGTCTTTACTCTTTTACTGCTTTATTTTATTGATTGTAAGCAAATGACTCTAGATTCAGTTATCAGACATGCACAGTATATACCATTAGGAATATCAAGAATTCTTCGATGTTTATATCTGTTTGTACTCCTTGATCGACACTGCTAAGAATAAAGCCTAGCAAAGACGGGATGTACTCCACAATTAATTATGATGTTTGGATCATCATGCTCTTCTTACTATACGTTCTTCCCCCTTGTTTATTCTTATACATGATATCTCTCTTTGCTGACTCACAGTAATATTTATGTCCACGTGGTCATGTCAATTCTGCAGGGGAAGCAGAATGAATACAATAAGAATATTAACAGTAACATTATTCTACCTGTATTTGGTTATATGTGTAAGGAGTAGGGTCTTTATTCATGGATCAGATCTGTTTTGATCTATGCTTGGGTTTGTGCGGCAATTAAAAGATGAACAATGGAACATACCGAGTTCCTGTGAATTGATTTACTCAGTATGAAGATACCTATAGATTCATGATAATCAGAAAGTGTAGTATCACCTAGCAAAGATTATCTAGTGTACAAGCAAGACAAGTCTTTAAGTAAAGCCTATGTCAATGATAGGATACCTTGGATATCTGATATGTTCTTGATATTCTGGACTACAATAACTTGAAGAAGAAAAGAGAGAATGGTTCAGTCAAAGCCAATTACAAGTGACAGGCTTTCTTTGATAGTTCTATAGAGCAAATC